AAGTCTGGATTTTTTTGCAGTGGGGATGGGAGGGTTTCTGGGATTTGGGGGTTCACCTACCAGTGCTCAGGGCTATCTCCTGATCTGGGCTCAGGGATCACTCCTGGTGGGGCTTTGTGCTGGGGATGAAACCCTGATCTGCTGTACAATCTTTCCAACCCTTTTCTGTTTTCTTTATAAAAATCTCCTACGACCATGTGGGCAAAAATGGTTGCTCTGAGGACACAAACTCCAATCTTCATCCAATCTACGAGCACGTTGCCATTAAGGCTCTTTGTCTCAAAAAAACAATCAGGTGGGATAGGTGGGATCAGAGGACTAAGGTCAATGGCTTGCAAGGAGAAAGCCCACCATACTAGAGCTCCAGCCCACGCAAGGTCCCTCACCTTTTCTGCAGGTGTGTGTGTGTGTGTGTGTGTGTGTGTGTGTAACCATGCAAGGTCCCTCACCCTATCTGCAGTGGTGTGTGTGTGTGTGTGTGTGTGTGTGTGTGTGTGTGTGTGTGACTCTCCTTCCCAGTGAGCGCAACCTTATTTGCAGAACATGTTTAACTTGTTTGAGAGTTTTTAACCATCATTAGGTTTCCTGACAGTTGCTTGAGACTGAACCAACCATTTCCTTTGGTGGGGGGCTGGGGGGAGGGGCGGGATGGGGCGAGGCAGGGGGGGGGAGGGAATTAAAGGTCAGGGAACTAGAAGCTGAGCCGGAAGGAAAACTCAGAGCTTGTCTCTAACCATCTGGAAGGTTCATTTGGATCCCTTGGGGATTCTGTGAAAAAGGCTCCTTCTGAAAAGCTCCGGGCCTTGGCTGGGCTTGGAGGTTCTGTTTCTCGTGAGATCCTGTTTTGCAACGCTGCGTCCTGGTGGCTGCCCGTGCTCATACCGCAGAGAGGCAGGAGATTCAACCATTGACACAGGGACTAACCGTCACGGAGCACAGGGACTTTTAACTTTAACGTGCTGTTTACAAAAGAGAAGGGGCTGGCCTTGGCCTTCATGCTCTTCACCCGTCCAGCCCAAGTGATCTGAAGACTGCCAGTGTTCTCCTTCTCTGCGCCTCTAGCACTGAGGCAGGTGCCCTGGGTGCCTTTTGGCTGGGGCTGAGAACTGTGATCTCAGCTTCGAGCTCGCAGGCCCTTGTGCCTTGGAATCTCCTGCTGCATCCGGGGCATGGATCAGAAAACGAAATCGGAGGGTCCTTGGGGGTCCTGCAGTCCCACCTCATTCCCCAGAGGACCAGGAGGCGAGGGGGCTGGTGGTGGGGTTCTGGTAGCTGAAGGCTGGCTTCTTCCCAGGATGCCTTGGGAGGGGCCCCGGCCAGTTCTCCATGAGGGCTGGTTTGGTGGCCACGCCTTTGTGAGGAGAACAAGCTCTTTCTTTCGGGGACCAGGTCTGGTTTGGGGTGCAGAGCCGATGGGGGAAGGGGACGCTGACAATCTTCTTTCTCAGCCACTTGCTCTAGGGTCTGTTTCCTTAGAACTGGCCTGACTGGTAGGGTGAGCTGACAACTTTCCTTCTAAAGCTCTTCTAGATTTCCTCAATGACACTCACCACGAACAGTTAGTTCACAGCATGACCCAAGACAAACAGGACTTGACAGATTTGCAAATACCCAACCTCTCCAGGACCTTCTCTCCAGGGTGGCATGAATTGTGGTTCCCAAACCCAATTCCCTGGAGGCTGCTGGGATTGGAAGGGTTCAGGGTGCTTTAGTTCTACCAAGGCACAAAGACTTGACACTCCCTGTTCTGATTTTCACCACTTCTCTGATAGGCTCTTGCTTGCTGTGATTTTCCAAACTTTATCACCCCACTAATATGTTCCTTGAGTTCCCCTTTTGTGTGTTAAGTTTCATGCTGAAACTCTCTGAGGGGGTGAGAGTAAAAAATGAATGGAAAAGAAAAGTGATAGTATTGGGAGGCTGAGAGAAACAGGACGAGGTAAGGCACTTGCCTCGTACCCCAACTACCTTGGTTCTATCCCCCGCAACGCAGATGGTTTCCCAGCACTTCCAGGATCGATCCCTGAGCACCGCTGTCCCCAAACCAAAAAATTTCAACAAATTACAGAAGAACAATACAATTATAGCAAATTTTTTTTTTCCTTTTTGGGTGACACCTGGCTTTGCACTTAGGAATTACTCCTGGCGGTGCTCGGGGGACCATATGGGAGGCTGGTCGGGCTCGTGCAAGGTAAACACCCTCCCCTCTGTACTATCACTCCGGCCCCCAGCAAAATACTTTAAAGATGTGTCCGTGAGCAGGCGGATGATTCCATCTCTGTATTCCTGGGCTCTACCGGAAACACCGAAAGCAAATTTGTCATTTCAATTCCTCTGAAAAAGAAATTCATCCAAAACAGGAAGTTTGTTTCTTTCTTCCTTGACTTGGTAACATGGGGGAAAAAAAAACCTTAAGAACTGTCCTTAAAACAGAAGCAAAGTGCTAATGAAAATAGAAACATTCGGTATGGGTGTTCTACAATTATCTTATGGTTACTATAGAATGGTCAGAAAAGTGTGGTGAGTTCCTGTCCAACTGGCTGTGAGCAAAGGTGCCATTTATTTGCTTTCACTTTCTTTTGAAACATTTTATTGTCTGTTGCCACTCCACAGGGGGGCTAGACTGGGAATCCAGAGAGCAGACATGCGTTCAAGACTCTTCTATTTTATTTTTTCAAATTGCAGGTAGATGAAATCCCCCAAGCAGGTGCCCTGGATGCAGAAAACGAAACAGTGCTGTGTCATGTCAGGGGTCTGTGCAGGAGGAATCGGGCAGGGTCCATTCCAGGCCACGCAAGTGTCCACTCCCGACCTCTCTTGCAGCGCTGTCCTTTGTGAGTTTGGATGAGTTTACTTTGGATTATCAGCCCAGCTGTTTCCCTTTGAGCTTCCATTCTAGCCTTTTCCGGAAGTGTCCTCATTAGCACTCTTTCCATATTAGGCCATCTCCCCATCCCCCCCACCCCAACACCACCAAGATAAAGTAGCAGAAGCAGTTTCGGTGGGACTTGGGGAGGAAGAATTCTGAGTGACACAGAATCTGCTGTTCAAACCAACTGCTTGTCTCCTGAGGCTATGATTTGCACGTGGAAGAGGAAGTCCAACAAATGAGCTGAAGAGTAGCCACATGGGCAAATCAAACCAGAACGATTTTTAAATGGGAATCTTCAGGATGTTCTCAATTGCACAGATGCTCGAGTACAATACGGCCCAAGAACACAGCAGTGCATGGTGAAACTGTGCTGATAAAACTGCTCTAGCCTTAGCTGAGAAGAGCAAATAACCACATTTCTGTAAGATCAAAGCCCACTAGAGCTCAGACTCAAGGGTCCTTATTTTGTTTTTTGGCTTTTTAAAAAAATTTTTATTAGTGAAACACCATGAGGTACAGTTGTAGACTTACAAATTTTTGTGCTTGGATTTCAATTATACAATGATCAAATCCCCATCCCTCCACCAGTGCCCATTTTCCACCATCACGGGTCCCAGTATCCCTCCCCCCCCATCCCCCCATCCTCCCCCCCCCCCCCCCCCCCCCCCCCCCCCCCCGCCTCTGTGGCAGGGCATTCCCTTTTGTTCTCTCTCTCCTTTTGGGTGTTGTGATTTGCAAAAGAGGCACTGAGTGGCAATCATGTTTGGTCCATAGTCTACTCTCATCACACATCTCCCATCCTGGGAGGATCCTCCCAACACCCTTTATTTGGTGCTCCCTTCTCTATCTGAGCTGCCCTTTCCCCTAGAATGCCCGGCTGGCCTCTAAGCTATGGAGTAATCCTTCTGGTGCTGATCTCAGTTATTCTTGGGTATTAATCTCATATTTTGTTACTTTATATTCCCCAGATGAATGCAATCTATGTCTATCCCTCTCTTTCTGACTCATTTCGCTTAGCATGATACTTTCCATGTGGTACCACTTGTATGTAAAATTCATGACTTCATCTTTTCTAACAGCTACATAGTACTCCATTGTGTAGATGTACCAGTTTCTTTAACCAGTCATCTGTTCTTGGGCACTCAGGTTTTTTTTCCAGATTCTGGCTATTGTAAAGAGTGCTGCAATAAACAGACAATTGCAGATGTCACTTCGGCTATACTTTTTTGCCTCTCTGGGATATATTCCCAGGAGTGGTATTGCTGGGCCAAATGGGAGCTCAATTTCTAATTTTTGGAGGATCGTCCATACTGTTTTCCAGAAGGGCGGAACCAGTCGTCATTCCCAAGGGGTCCTTATTTTGGAAATGGAAACCTAATCAATATTGTGTGCAACATATACAACCCCACAAACACAATGAAACCGCTGGACAGCCCTGGGAACGACAGAGCTAAATTACAGAGCAAGACAATCCTGTATTTATCTTTCATACACTGCTCAACTTTAAATCACAGCAAGTCCAGCCAGAAGGCAGAGCCAAAGAACTGAGCTCTTTCCTGGAATCAGACCCGAGAGTAATGGAGATAACTGCAACATGAGGACAGATTTTATCCATTGTTCTTTTCATGTATTTTTATCGCGATTTTCCAGTTCTAAACCTGAGATCTGTGCCTCACCTATATTTAACTCAAGTACTCCAATTTATCTCAAGGTGGGAAACATTTCCTAAAATCACTTGTAAACTACAGTACATTTAGAGAAATACTAATTAGAATAATTTCCCTTTTTGGGTTTGGTTTTGGGGCTACTCCCGGGTTGGTGCTCAGTCCTGCTGGTTGTTTGGGGGAACCGCACGAGACAGGGATGGAGCCCAGGCCTCTTGCATGTAAAGCCTATTAACTAGTCTTGAGTTTACTCGTCAGTCATTAAATATTTGAAGATGGAGGTTAGGGCCACACCTAGTGGTACTCAGGGGTTACTCTTGGCTCTCCACTAAGAGTCACTCCTGCAGTGCTCAGATGTGATGCCCGATCAAACCAGAGTTGGCCAAATGCAGGGCAAGTGCCTTAACCCCTCTACGATTGCTCCAGCCCCCCAACATCACTTAAGAAGGAATATATTCAGAGAATATAGCAAATATTCAGGGAACTTTATTTTTAAAGGATAAATCAGACACAGCTTTCATTGACCCAAACATGCATAATCCAGAATCCATTCTTAATATAAAATGCATTCAATTGGTAAATTACACATGAATTACAAAGGGAATGCAACTTTAACATTCAAGTTAATAAAGACATCATACTTTTTTTTAAAGCTAATTATCTCTAGTAAATCAAGGGAAACTGATATGGAATGATTCGACTGAAAAGCAAAGAATAAGGCACCTGCTATGAATTTCAGACAGTTAACTTTCATTTTAAAAGTCAAAATAAAATAGATTCAGTTCAGCAACACATTTGTTTGAAGGAGGGAAACACGGGGTTGAGTTCCCGGGTGGGACAGGCAGGTAGCAATGCAGGTAAAAGCCTACTGGCCCGAGGACCGCTGACCCCTCTGACTCCAAAGAGATCAGGTTCCAGAAAGTCCTTACTTCTCTCCCTCACCCCCCATGCCAGGGAGCGCTGGAAGCTCTCGCAGAGGTCTGTACTGTGTATGAACCAGGTAGCCAATTTCCCTTCTGATCCTCTTACAACAGCTTATTTTAAAACAGGTATCCTGAGGCAATCATCAAAGCAAAGAAGCAGCTTTCCGAGCAACTCACGAATCCCGAGACCCCTCGCGAAACTTCAAGTCATGGCAAAGGATCTAGACAGCCAACACTTGTCCTTTTCAACAGTACCAGGAAACTCAGCGCCTGCCTTGTCAGACACTCACCCTCACCAGGAGTACAAATTAAGTTTAATCAATCAACCATCACCTATAGAATCACACGACAGAGGAAGACTAGAGTCTGATCCTTCTCAGCAAATCCACTGAACTTCTGATGAGTCGGATCAATTTAGTACCCTTAGAGCATTTCGGCCATACATCTAGGGATAGCATTTCCAAAAGAAGTGTAACTTTTTTAAGTTGATGTGCCTTTTTTGGTAACCAAAAGTGCTATTAGCATGCTAAGATGTCGCGTGACACACTGGACTCAATGCTATGTCCTGACGAGGCCTGGCAGGCTACAGCCCTGGGATCGAGAGCTGTTCTGGTGAAGCCGATGACATCACGGACCGCTGCCGACTTCATTCCACCGTGGTAGACTTCAGGGAAACCCGAAGCGACCGAGTTGCAAAAACATTCAACCGCAGTTTTCTCACGGCATCTTGGGTTAGTATTCTCATTCATGCAAAATCCACATAACAGAAATGACATTGTTAAAATACAGAGTGTGGCTAGAAGCATCTCCCCTTTGATTAGGCATTTAGAAGCAAAAATTTTTTAACATGTTTCAGGTGCTCGGTTGTGGGCAAAACGAAGCGGTCAGCAAAGCTGTCCCGTTCCAAAGCACCTTATTACCGGACCGTTAAGTTACCTGACCCTACGGAAGACTGTGCTTGCAATTCAAGAGATAATAGGAATAAATCGCCTTGCTCCGAAGCTCTGTGAGAATCCAAATCCGAAATCACACTAACTACACTCACGCGTTTAGTTAGCAAATTCCACACCCTGTCTATACATGCATCTTTAATTTAGTTCTCTAGACTGGATGCTTTTTTTTTTTTAATAACCACATCTAAAAAAATTTAACTCTTTACTGACTGAATAAGTAGGGTCCACTACTGTAGCTGAACACATTTTATTGCTTTATTCATGTGGTGCTTTTGCAAGGCACTGTGGTACGGACTAGAAAACTTGGAATGACTGGAGAAGAAACCTTGGAATGACACAGGAAGGATGATCGGAAAAGTCATTCTGAGGCAGGATGCTTTACTGAATTGTTTTGAACCAGGGGATCAAACATCAGGAATGAGTTCAAGTTAAAATTCACAGGAGAATGGAAACATCTTAAGGGTCTGTCACTTCACATGCCCATCCTGATACTTTGAATAATCTGGAAAATTGCTGGAAAGAGAAAAAAAGAGCACACATTAAAACTTGCTCAGAGTAGCACAAGCCTCGCCACTACACACATTAAGATGTCTGAAAACCCAAGAGTACCGCAACACAACAGTCATTTACAAACGCATACAGCTTCACGGGGATAAGTGAAGACAGGTCTAAACTAATACAATCATGGAACACCGTAAATTTTGTCTTTCTCCCTGCCCCTCTCTGCTGCTGAGAGGTTGATCTGCAACCCAAGGGCCCCAGGCTGTGCCCTGGGGCAAACTGGATTCCTGCAGGCACTGGGCTGTATCTCTTTGGTCCCCAAGTTCTTTTTACTCAAAAACTCAGTTTCCCCGAGTTCTCTAAGTGTTCGAGAAAGCATGCAGAGCAACCTTTCTTCAACCTGCTGGAGGCAGGACCCTCTGCGGTGCTGGGGACTGAGCCCCGGGTCTGCTACACCCCTGCGGGCACCTTGCCCCCTAGCCTGTCTCTCCAGACCCCTGGCAATAGTTTTAAAGGAACAGTGCAAACGGGTCTTTCTAGCTGGGACTCGTTTCACTCTGTCCTCCAGAGTCCCTGGAAGGGCTGGCCTGTGAAATCTGCGTGTTTCCTCGTTCTCACCCGGCTGAAATTCAATCGTCTTTAGGTTATATAAATGACTTGGCTCTGGGCTGTTATCGGGAGAGCCTCCAACTGGGAAGCCCAGGAGAGGCGAGGCGACATGTCTAGCAGAAATCCAGCATCAGGGCGTGGGGGCCAGCAGGGCACTAAGAGACCGGAGAGGCACTCGGCGTCCCGGCGGGGCCACAGCGGCACCCCACCAGGTGTCGAGCGTCTGCTCCCCCCGGGACCTCGGTCTCGCGCTCCTTCCTGGTCCCCGCTGGCGTGAGGTCAGCGAGCTGCACGGGGCTCTCCCTCGGCGGCAGGCCAAGCCCGTCCCGCCACCGCCACCGCCACCGCAGCCGGGTCCCGAGGCGCGCGTGTCCCGTCCCCGTCCCCGTCCCCGCCCTGGCAGGGGCGCGGGTGGCCACCGGGCTGCAGCAACGCCTGGCCCGGGGCGTGTGCGCGCGGGGAGCGGGAGGGCTCGGGTTCGAGTCGGGCTTCCGTCCCGACCGAGCGACCGAGCGACCCCTCCCTGGGCCCCGACCTCCCCTCCCCGCTCGCGCGCGCTCATCGCCCACCCGGGGGAAGTTTCCGGAGCGGGACCGGAGCGGCCGGCCGAGAGCGGCGACCTGGGGCGCCCGCGGCAGGTGGGCCGGCGCGGGGGCCCCACTCGGCGCGACCCGCCGCCCCCGCAGCGGCCCCCACTCACCGGAGCCGCAGACCACGAAGATGAAGAGGGCCAGCAGCCAGGGCCCCACGGACGCCTTCTCCTCGGGCGCGTTCCTCTGCGGGAGGCAAGGGCGGGCGTCCGTGCGGCGGCAGAGCCCCGCGCCCCCCCGCCCTGCCGCCCCCCGCCCCCCGGGGCCCCCCCGCCGCGCCCCCCGCCCGCGAACCGAGGTCTTGGCGACGTTGCCGCGCTGCGTGATGTTCTTGCTGTGCTTCTCGTTGGCCATCCGGATCCGCTGCTTGGCGACCATCTTCGCGGCGCCCGCCCGAGCGCGGCCGGCCACCCCGTGCACTGGCTCGCGGCGTCGGGTGCCGCGCGGCCGGGCGACCAGGACGCAGAGGGCGCCGGGCGGCGGGAGCGTGCGGCGCGGGCGGGCGGGCGGGCGGCGAGCGACGGCGACTGCCCGGGCCCGGCTGCCAACGTCAGCACGGGCCGGCCCCGCCCGCCCCGCCCGCCCCGCCCGCCGGCCCCCGCCCCGCGCGGCGCCTGCGCGCTCGGGCCCGGGCCGGCGGACGGGGCGGCCGCGGCGGAAGCGAGCGCGCCCCGAGCCGCGCGACCCGGAAGCGGCCCGGCCGGCCCCGCGCCGCCGGGAGACGTGTAGGGGCCGGGTTCGGCCCTCGCGACCTCCGACCCGGGCGGCGGGGTTCTCCTTCCGGCTCAAGATGGCGCCGTCCACGCCGCTCCTGACAGGTGGGTCGGGGGCGAGCGCGGCGGCGGGGGCCTCTCCCGGGCCGGCTCCCGAGGCGCGGCGGCCCGGGCAGACCCGTCCGCGGGGCCCCGGAGGCCGGGCCGCCTTTGCCCCGGGCCGGCGGGGCGAGGGGCGGCCCTGGGAGGGGGCGCGGGTGCGGCGTGGCAGTCGGAAGTGCGGCCTCGGCCTCGGGGCGCCCGCACCCCGCCCCCGCCCGCCCGCGGCCGTCCGCGCTGGGGCTGCGGGGAGGGGCGCGGAGGGGCGCGGAGGGGCGGCCCGGCCCGCCTCGCAGCCCGTGGCGCGGAGGGGTCGCCGACCCCCTCCGGGGCTGGTCGGGGGCGTCGCCGGGGAGCGAGCCTCGCGTCGCCGCAGTGCCAGCGTCCGCTGTCGCCCACCGGCTCGCCCCGGGCCACCCGCGAGTGCCGGAGCCCAGGCGCAGTGGACGGTGCTCGCAGAAGGCGCGTCTCCAGGCCGAGGCTCGGCCGAGACGCTGGCCTGGAGGAGGCGGACGCCCGCCTCCCCCTTCGTCCGGGGAGGTCGCAGGGAGCCTGGTGCTCACCTGGAAGGAAAGAGGACCGCTGGAGGGTGGTCCGCTTCTGGAAAGCTCTAGCGGTTTCTGCCGTTGGGCACTTTCCTTCCTGTTGCTGATCCTTCCTGGACATGGGGCTCAATGGCTAGAGTGCCCGCTTCGCTGCTGAGACCGTAGATTGGACCCAGGGCAGCAGGCACAATTCCCAGAACCCGCCAGGGACCCCTGAGACCCACCAGGAGTGATTCCTGAGCACTGCTGGGTGTGACCCCCAAAACCAAGAAAGCAAAACAAATGACAGGCTTGATCCAGTTAGGGGATTGGAAGCTAGCACAGCTTTCCAGGTCCGTGCTTTCACTGTGTGCAACTCTGCTTTGATCCCCAGAGCTGCCCTCCAGGCCAGCACTGCCAGACAGGGCCTGGAGGCCTCCCGGAACCACCAGGTGTGGCCTTGGGGGTCCCCAGCCCTGTGTCCTTGGCCCTCACATTGAACCCTCCGGCCCATTGGCTGAGTATCACAGGGATGACTTGGGCTCTCCTCCCGGTCCCCTGGTCAGTTTACCCCTTATCTCATATTCAAGGGCGAGGGGGGGGGGGGCGGGGGGGAGCTGAGAGATTGGATGGGGAGATGCACTTTGCAAATTGACAGAAGCAGGATTGCATTGAGTTACTCAACTCCATGGTCCACTTCTCTCCCAAGATAATTCAGTGCTTGCACTTCTCTATCGTGCCCAGGAGATTGCTGAGTTTGCTTTGTCTGCGGGAGACCTGGGCTCAGCTCCTGGCACCACCAGCTCAAAGGCCAAAACCCAATAAATTGAGGCCGGGAGACAGTACAGCAGGCAGGCCTCATTTTGATCTCCTGCACTGGAGGGTCCCCGGAACAGTGTAGGTTGGAGCCCTACATTACTACATCCTTGTGTCCTTGCAGTTACCTACTGCCCTGTTGCCTTAGAATTGATGGGGGGGAGGGCCACACCCCCTCAACATCACTTGGGAATCTCCCCTCCCCCCAGGCAGTGGACATTCTTAGCTTAGGTATTTCAGGCAATTATAGGGTCTCTTCTACAGTACTTTTTTTGAATTTAGGCTCATAGGATTGTAGAGTTATGAATAATTTACAGATTATCCAGTAAAGTTTTAATAGTCAAGGCTCTTGGTTGAAATGACCAAAACCAAACTAAACCCCCCCCCCCCCCCAAAAAAAATCCAAAACCAGAGGGAAAGGAATTAAAAATAAAGAAGCTCCTGACTTGATCCTATAAAGGTTCGGTGCTTGCTGACTCCAAAATCTGTTTTTCCTTATCACTAGTCTCTTGCTTTTCTTGATTAAATTCATTACCAGGCTGGCATGCTTGGGGCCTCCTGATTTGCATGTAACCAGTTTACACTGAACCAGTAGCCACAGAGGAAAGAACATACTTTTTATCAATAGTCCCTCGTTATTTTGGGGGGATGTGGGAGTCTCACCCAACTGTGCTCTGGGCTTACTCTTGACTCTGCTGAGGGGTCATGCCTGGCGGTGCAGTGCTAGAATTCAAGCGGGTTACTGGCTCGTACTCTCTCCGGCCCCTGTTTTTGCTCCTTTCAATTTGTAATGCAGTTTATATTTGGTTATGGGTTTTATTTCTACGTCTGATTGTTCGAATGTGTGTACAGGGCTGCACTGGAGCCGGGGAGATAGAACAGGGATAAGAGACCTTGCACACAGCTCACCAGGGTTCAATCCTCATCATCCCATGCAGTCTCCTGAGCACTGCCAGGAGTGATACCTGAGCCCAGAGCCAGGAATGGCCCCAGGATCCTTCAGGTGTGGCCCCAAAGCACTCATTTCCCCCGGGGCAGGGGAAGTGACTCAGGCCCAGAGCCCTCACCTGGTATGCGTGAATCTTGGCACTTCCTGCCCCTCTCCCCCCTCCCGGAACTGCTGAGTCAAGCCCTGGTGGCTCTCACTGCCGAGCTGAGTACCCCAGGAGTGACCGCCAGGCCTCCTGAGCACTGTGTGGGAGGCACTCCACGTGCCAATCTCAAGACGGGTTTCAGAATGTGAATGTCCCGTGGGAGTCAGGCTATGCTAGAAGAAGCAGTTACTGTTGTGAATCACGCGTGGTGTGTGAGCAGCACTCCTGACTGATTTTTCTGACCTGGGGTGAGCGTGGGTGCCCGAAAAAAGGGCAGAGGACCAGGGGCTAGAGAGTCCTTCCCATGAATGCTTTTGTCTCGTGGGATGCGTTTCCTACCCACAAAAATCGTCATCCGTCCCATTTTTTAACTTTAGTGTTAACATTTCCTTAGTTTTCCAAGCAACTCTGATTTGGGGTGATGTTGAAAACCCTTCAAGCGGCTTCCTTTCTCGCCGTGTGGCGAACAGAACCTTACTGAAAACCGTATTGCAGAGGCAGTACTGCTTCATTACTTCAAGAACATTACTGAAAGTTCCTGTTCAGTACCTTTTTCAGCAACACAACCAGCCGAGGGTTATGTTACTGAAGTAAAGCAATATTACTGAAACTAAACAAGCGAACAAAGCCTCCCTTTTAGTATGACTTGAGACTCAGAAGTAGCGGACACAGTTGCGAGTTCCCGCCTGCCCTCCCCAGTAATGATAGTATCTTCTGGAACCGCAGACTTAGCCAAGACCCAGAAATTGCCCCCAGTGCTGCAGGTGACGAAGTGTCAGTCCTTATTTGCATCTCGCCAGTGGGGGCGGGTAGGATGCTGAGACACCTTATCACTGGGGCACACGTAATCGCCGCCACCGGAGTGTGGCTTTGCCTGGTGTGGCTTTGCCTCGTCAGCACCGCATGTCTTGTGCAGCTCTGGGCTTTGTTGTTGGTTTGGTTTTGGTGCCGGGGGTCAAACCCAGGACCTCACCCCGGCCACGCGACACTCCTGTCGCCCATGTTCCTCTCTGCTGTACTCCAGCCCCTGTTCCAGACTCTGGGCTTCGGCAGCCAAGGATTTGGGAATCTTGGATAACCAGCATTATCTTGCTAGCTCTGTCATTTCAAGAGTGACCCTACAGGGGGCTGGAGCGATAGCACAGTGGGTAGGGCATTCGCCTTACATGTGGCCCACATGGTTTCGATCCCTAGCATGCCATCTGGTCCCCTGAGCACTGCCAGGAATAATTCCTGAGTGCAGCGCTGGGAGCAACCCCTGTGCATCGCCAGGTGTGACCCAAAAAGAAAAAAAAAGTGTCCCTATAAATAGCTCCCAGGCCGTCCTTTGCATTCATGAAATGTGAACATGGAGCTTGGAAAGGGTCGGTGACGTTGAGATTTTGCTAGCCCAGGAACGATCTTCACCTGGAAATGTGGCAGGAAAGACCTGCTTTTTCCAGGAGAATGGCGGGCAGTGTTTTGGGGGTCATGACCGTGGTCAGGTGGGTGCGGTGGCCGGCTCCCCTTCCTCTGTGGCTGCCGCGGTCCCTTTGGCTCCGGAGCAGAGACCCCGTGCCATGTGGCTTGAAGACCCAAGCCCGAGGTCTGGGCAGGGCCTGGTTGTGGGTTCCTGACAGTGGCTGTCTGTCCAGAGGAGAGGCAGTTCCTGGGCCTCTGACCTAAGGGCGCTAATCCTGTTCCCGAGGCTCTGCCTCCAGAAGACCCCAGTTTAAATCCTTAGGGATTTCACCCTGAATTGGGGGTGGGGGTGCTGGCCCCCCAACATCACACTTTCGCGGCTCCTTTGGGGTCCCGCAGCAGTTTTACTTCGGGGTGTGGGTATGGAGCCGAAACGTGAGCCCGGGGAAGGCTTGTGCTGGTTTCCCAGAATACCCAGTGCCCCACCACCGTGGTCAGAGGCCGTTCCAGCGCTTCAGGGGTCCCGGGGGACAGCTGCCGCTTAGTAACGGACAGACAGTTTGGCTCTCCCTCCCCTGAGGAGGCCCGGTGGCCACTGATCAAACAAAAACCAATGAGCAGAGAGGCCTGAGGTCACTGGCTGCGAGTGTCCTGGGAACATTGAGGCTGCTGCGGGCTGGGCGTTTGCCGTCCCCTTTCTCTCTCGCCCCGCCACGTAGTGCGGGCCCAGTGGTTTCATCATACAACACGTCTCCTTCCTGTCCTGCTGCCACGTCCGGCCTCCACTGGGCAGCCTGTGGACGTCAGGCCTGAGAGCAAGTGGTTAGTGTGGGAGGGGCCTCGTGAGGCCAGCCCTGTCCCATGCAGTTTAGGAGAAACAGAACCTGC